TGGCCTGAGCTCCAGTTCCTGCCTCCAGGTTCCTACCCTGAGTTCCTACCTTGAGCCCCCTAATGAACTGTAGCCCGTGAGATATAAGCAGAATAAACCCTTTCCTCCTCAAGTTGGTATTGGTCAGAGTATTTTGTTATAGCAATGGATAAACAAACTAGAACACTTACTGTATAGGGTGAGATAAAATGTACATTGTGTGTGCGTGTGTGTGTATGTTTTACAGTGAACATAATCTTTGGTCTTAGTATTGTGACTGTGTAACCTAGACTGACCTGAAACTCCCGAGTCTCCTGCCTTAGACCCCTAAGTACTGAGTTTACAGGTGTGTACCTCCACCTTTGACCAATGAATATACTCTTGATCTTCCTGTTACTAAACACTTTTTAAAACTTCTGAATGAGAATATTAGTATTTGAAGAGCTTTTTCAGAATATGTAGTCAGTCTTCTGAAGTGATGTGCAACTCTGGGTCTGTATCAGAATCATCTACCTATAGAACTTTGAAAGGGCCTATTGAATTATAATCTGAAAGGTATAGGGCCTGGATCACAAGTATTCTGATACACAGCCAGGTTTAAAAGTTTCCACACAGGCACTCATTCAGAAAGAAGCATAGGTAAAGAAAGCATTTTTCATGTTTCCCTTACACTGAGGTTCTGAGACTGTGCTAATTTCATTTGTTTCTAAGTAAAAAAGTACTTTTGTTTAAATGGTTCAAGTGAACATTGATGAACTCCTAGTAGTGCTTTCCATTCCTAGTATCTAACAAAACTGACTTTGTCTGGAAATTTAAGGCACAAATATAGAAGTAGAGTTTGACAGATTTTGTATTTGATATGGAGCAATTAAGAGTTTAAAACATTTAAAAAAATTTTATGTGTGTATGAATATTTGCCTGCATGTATTTTAAGTGCACCCATATTGTGCGATGTCTGCAGAGGGTAGAAGAGGGTGTCGGATCCTCTGGAACTGTAGTTACAGTTATTAGCTACCATATGGGTGCTGGGAACTGAACCTGAGTCTTCTGTAAGAGTAGCCAGTACTCTTAACTGATGAATTCTCTCTCTAGTTCGGTAGTTAAGACTTTTTGCTTCAGATAATGGAGAGCCATCAGAGGTTTTGTTTTTTTTTGTTGTTGTAAATCAGGAGAGCAATATGATCATCCAATTTTTGTTTTGTTTTAAAAGAAGGTAACCTTGTCACCTGAATACAATGTAGATTAGAATGGGAGAGAAAGCTTTGGCATGGAGAAGCACATCAGTGCAGAAGGTACTGAGCAACAGTGGGGATAAGTCAAGATTGAATTTTGGCCTTGTAGCCACCTGTTTTAGTTCAACCCCTTACCCATCCACCAATCTGCTCTATCTTTTATTCTAGACTTAATACAATTCTAAAGGCTCTACTGAAACGTCTCCTCTGACAGTCTTAAACTCTTCTTCAGTGGTATCTTTAATTTTATTATTTATTTTTATATTTTATTTTTAAGATTTAAAAATTGGTTTTATTTATGTGTGTATGTCTTTGTGACATACACATTAAGTTTGTGGGTGCCCAAGGAGGCCAGAAGATGGTATCAGATCCCCTGGAGCTGGAGTTATAAGAGGTTGTGAGTTGCCTGATATGGATGCTGGAGACTGAACTTGGGCCCTCTGGAAGAGCACCAAGAGCTCTTAGCAGCTGAACCATCTCTCTAGTACCCCTTAAAGTACCAGACTGGTGGAACTAACCTTCTTGCATGTTTTAACAACCATACTTTGAAGCCTATACTGATTTGGTCAGAGGGACATAAAGGACAGTTTTTGCTCCTTGCCTTCCTAGGTTGACTAAGTTCCAGGGAACTATGAGCATCTCTCAAAATGTCCTGTAGCTGTGGTGAGTCACCTGTCCTCTTGATCAAGGAGGCCATGGAGACCCCACGAGATGGACTTGAACCAGTGTCCATCTACAAAGAGGAGGGTCAACACAGAGGAAGCATTTCTTCCATGCTTCCAAGCAAAGCCAGCTATGGTTGAGCAGGACCTCTGACTTATCTTCACATCAGTGGAACTGGTGAAAGAAAGGAGCCAGGGACTCATCTTAAGCCCATGTGACCCCCGAGGAACAGATACTCAAATGGCCTTAAGAGTAAAAATAAATTGGTTTATCTGGGTCAATTGTAGGGTCTTAAACACCCAAAAGGAAAGTATAACCAAAGATTAAAGGGGTCAATATAATTTTTTTTAAATTTTACTTGTTATTCTTATATGTATGCATGTATTGCCTGCATGTAGATGAGTGTGCCCATGTTGTGCAATGCCCACAGAGATCAGAAGAGGCTGTTGGATCCCCTGGAACTGGAGTTATAATTTTTAACAGTCCGTATGTATAGCTAAAGGCTACATAACAAGATACAATGCCAGACAGGAGATACCTTCATTTGAGTTATTGGCCAGAGTGGCCCAAGAGACTCCCAGACAGTAACCCAGAATAGAACTGGGAAAATGAACAGCAGACCCCAATCTTATCTAAAGGAATATGGTCAACTGATTGCTGCTATGTGAGGAACAGCTGATCTTCCTAAAACAAGGATCTCTAGAGAGGCTGAATAGATTTAGCGGATGGACAAGCACTGAGGAATGGCTGGGGGCGCAGACAACATAGTGGACAGTAACAGGAATGACAGAGTATATGGGCTCCAGTGGGGGTCAGGGGGAGGCCATGGGAGGGTGCTATTTGGGAAGTGGGCATATAGATGAATAAGATTGTTTGGGATGTTTTATATGATATAGACACAAAAATTCAACAAATAAAAAGTGACTTATTTGAGGAGGAAGCATAAAAATTTACTTCATGTTAATTAGTAGAGGTGATAAACATTACCATTGAAATCTACCTGATGACTTTATATCCTTACTCAGATGCCAAGGATCCAAGTGTAACCGACTGTGACTAGTAATAATCAGATGCATGGAGATTATAGACACATGTGCAAACATTTAAGTGTTAGTAGCATTAAAAATGAGTCTTTCTGTAGGAAACAGCATATTTTAAAATGAAAAGGATCTTTTTTAAAGGTTAAAAACTCATTCAATTTTATGTCTTACAGGGTCTATACTGAATTCAATATTGTGTAACTGTATTAATTCAACTGTGAACCTAAAAATTTACAGCCACTTTTGAAAGAGATCCTGGTTCTGGAAATTGTTATTGAATATGTTAAAGCTGTAATGAAATTCTTCTTCTAATCATGTGGTTATTAAATAAAAAAATTTTTTTAAATCAAAAAAATTTTTTTAGTTATGTGTATCCATGTGTGTGTCTGGGTGGGGGAGAGGTATGAGCATTTGAATGCAGTTGCTAACGGAGACCAGAAGAGGGCTCTGACTCACAGGTGGCTGTGAACTGCCCTACATGGGTCCTGGGAACGGAACTTTGTTCCTGTTCAAGAGCAGTACATGCTCCCAACCACTGAGCCATCTCTCTAGCCCCTAATGATGTCTTTTTTGGTGTTCTTTTATAATTTAGTTTGTGTGTGTGTGTGTGTGTGTGTGTGTGTATGTATGTGTGTGTTATGAATGGGAAAACTTGCCATAGGCCACATGTAGAGGTCAGAGGACAATTTTCAGGAGTCAGTTCTCCCCTTCTACCATGTAGGCCCACGGGAGTGAACTCAGGTCCTGTCAGGTTTGGTGGTAAGAACCTTTATCAGTTGAGCCATATTGCTGGCCCTATAATACTTTAAATTTTTAATTATTTTTTTCTTATTTAATTCTTGTATTTATCTGACATTGATGTCTAGCAAAGTAGCCAGTACAGATCTAGTGAACAGTTGTCCTTTAAATAAACTCTACTTGGTTTCCCTATTTGTCTTATTCATGATTTTTTTCTTTTTAGACTCTTATCTGTCTTTTCTACCCACAGTTTGGAATATTAACTTTTTTTTGGTAATTTTGAGGTACCTGTAGCTCCAGCTGGCCTGTAACTCACTAAACTCACTATGTAGACCAGGAGAATCTTACTCAAATTAAACCCTTTCTACCAAGCTCTCTCTAATTGCCCCACTGTGGTTAATTTCTCCTTTGAGCTCCTACAGCATATAAGTTGTACGTGTCTTACTTTATGCTGCCTTGTAGTTTTAATCTTTTGTATATTCTGTGTTTATGGATACTCTGCCTCTTTTGAGTTGGATATTTTGTATATCAGCTTATGTAGTGTATTTTTAATAATTTAATAATGGTGGGAGCTGGAGAGATGGTTCAGGAGTTAAGAGCATTGGCTATTTTTGCAGAAGACCTGCAATCCACATGGTGGCTAACAGCTGTCCGTAACTCCAGTTCCAGGGGATCTGATGCCCTTTCTGACCTCCCTGGGCATTGCACAACACAGATGCACTTATATACATGTAGGCAATACACTCTGTACACATTAAAAAAATAATAGTGGTAATCGTTCATCCTGTTCTAAGTCTTTCTGAAAATAACTTTGTTATAAACACAGTTCATTCTTCCCTGGAAACTTAAAATCTCAGTTCAAAAATACTCTAAACTGTTAATACTATTTGAGTTCTTGCTGTGCATGTGTATAAATAATTTTTTCTAAAAGACTTTTGAAAGGCCAACATGAAAGAAAAGAAATTCCCCTTGGCTTCATTGAAATATACAGCATTTTGAAGTTGAGTATTACTATTTGATTGAATGCAAAATCCTTTAGAACTTTATATTTAAAATGTTTTCATTAAGGGAAAATACTGTCATTTGTTTCTTATGTTAAATAGTAAATCCTTTGCCAAAATGAAGCATTATTTTCCTTGGGAGTCCCACAAAACATTTGGGCCTCCTCTGGCTTGTAATCTTATTAAATTTTATCCATGAAATAAAACCTAATTATATGCAGTTGGTGAACTCTAGGTATAGACAGTTGAATGTAAATAGAAATTTACTCATTAAATATATTTATTGAAACATTATGAAATGTTGAGAATACTTTATATTAACTAAATTTAATTGTATTTTTCTTTAGCCCATATGTTGTAAAGTACTATGGTAGTTACTTTAAGAACACAGACCTCTGGATTGTTATGGAGTACTGTGGAGCTGGATCGGTCTCAGACATAATTAGATTACGAAACAAGACAGTAAGTATTTTAAATTTATTTTGTTAATCTCATTTCTAAAGATTCCATTTTAGAATATGACTAGGTAGTATTTTGTTACAAAGAAAATATTACTGTGAGAAAAGAAAACATTTTAAGCAGTGTGAAGGGATCTAGTAAGAGGTTTGAGAACAGCCACATGCGTGTCTGTGGCAGATTTAAGAAACTTTTGATTATTTGATTCTTGGGATAAGGTTTGGTCAGGTACTAAGGAACTGTCATGCAACTCCTTTTATTTTAGAATCAGTGTAAATGTTTATTAATGTAAGTTCAATAAATTATGACTGGAATTCTATTTAAACTTCATAACATTCACAGCATTTCCTTATCTTAATTTTTCTATATTATCATTTATGGCTGGCAAATTTTTAAAGAAGTTACATGTTTCTGGATTTTTGAAAATAATTGAAAGTAATTTTTGTTTCTCCAATGTTGAAATGTATGGAAGTGATAGTGCTAGATCACACACACACACACACACACACGCAGAGTGAAGTGAGTTTCGTGAAGTGTGCTACTTAGTAAGGTAAAAACTTTTGTAGTTGTTTTTGAGAACAGATGCTTATATAATTGTTTACTTTAGGCTATCAGTGCATCTAAGGACCAAAGTGACCCTTTTATTTGAATGGCTGAGAAGAATAATCAGTGAAATAATTTGAAATTGTGTAAAGTAGTTCGGTTACTGTATGGTGTTACATGCTGTCAGACTGTCTCAGTAAAATATATTCAGAAAATATATCTAACTGCTTGAGTGAATTTTTGGTTAACCAGAATCATTTTAAAATTTGGGGAAATGCTTTTAATTTTATCCTACTAATTTTTTTTTTTCAGTTGGAGAAAATAAATAGAATTTCTTTAAAAGGAAGTGAAACAGAAGTTTATATAATCCCTGTTTTGGTAGAATGGATTAAATCTATGACATTTTAATTAAGTATTTTAGAATTTCTGTTATTCATAAATAGCACTTATGTAAATCAGATGACTCTTGAGTGGCAGAACAACAGATAATAACTACACTCCAGCTGGAGAAGTGTTCTAAAATCATTTCAGCACTAATCTCAGTCCATTTGATACTTAAAATGATCAAAAAGGAGTTGAAATTAAAGCATGTGAAATGGAAAATTTTAAACATCTCTTTTCACTGTTATGTGATTTATGTTACCATTTTTAGCACATAGAAGATAGTTGAGCCAAGAAGTTTATTTCTTATTACCAATAATTACAGACTGTGAAAGTATCTACAGTTTTAAAGATAAGTATAGATATGATCATAATTCTGAGACATTGGCTTCACCACTTAACCACTGGAGAGATTCTACCCCTTCATATTCTTAGTTAGGAGACAGTCCTTGAAGTATGTTGGGGTTCCCTATATTTGGAACAGTATAATTGTTATTTTCCATACATGAAGAAAGATTTGGAGCTGCTCAGGAGATTGATCAGGAGCTGTGGGGTTGTTGTCTTGGTGTGTTGGCTAATTGGTAACTCCTGTAAGGTTTGAAGAACTTTAGTATCCTTATTTACTTATTATCTAAAAAGAATGGCATTGTTTTTAAGGTTGTCACTATACAGATATATTTCACCTCTTTTTTTTGCAGTGTTGAGAATTGAACTTAGGGCCTCACACACGCCAAGCTTACTCTAGTAGTTTTCAATGTCATAAAACAATGCCATATTCCTAAGAATATGGCAACTTCTTTTAGGGTTTATGTACTCTTCTGCTTTATGTTATATACTTTACTGTTTCTTTTAATTATGTATGCAAAATTAACTACATACACCGATAAATAATGTATAAAGAATTTTTATTTGGATCTGGAGAGATGGTTCAGTGGTTAAGAGCACTGACTACTCTTTCAAAGGGCCCAGGTTTGGTTCCTAGCACCCACATGATGGCTAAAAACTATCCTAACTCAAGTTCCAGGGGATCTAACACCCACTTCTGACCTCCATGGGTGTTGCATAACACGGGTGCACTTCATACATGCAGGCAATACACTCATACGCATAAAATAAAAAAAATGAAAACTAAAATGTTAAAAAAGAACACATATTGTAAATGTCTGTTATCTGTGTATTTTTGCTTTTATTGCTCTTTATTTTTGTCTTCATTTCCTAGTTGCCCAATGTTTAAATAAAGTTTTTTTGGTCTTTTTAAGACAGGTTCTCCCTGTAGCCTCAGCTGGCTTGGAATTCATTATGTAGACCAGGCTGGCCTCCATCTTTTAGAGATCTGCCTGCTTCTGCCTCCTAAATGGTGGGATTAAAGATGTGCACCACCACACCTGGCTCACAAAACAAACTGCTTTTGTTTTTTCTGTGGTTCTGGTGATTACTCTCAAGGCCTCATGCATGCTGTAGCCCTTCATTTTAGTTTTAAAAGTTATTGGTTAGTTTCTTTTAGTATTGCAAGACACCCTTTCATACCTGCCTAGCTCCCCTTGTTTCTACTGATAAACTTTGCCAGTGTGTCTTTGAAGATAATCTATTTCTTTTCCAAGTTCCTTTAAGATTTTACTTTTGGGTTTCAGAAATTTTGTTTTGATGTATATAATACAGTTTTTTTTTTTTGGTATTTATCCCTTGTGGGTTCTTATTACACTTTGTTTTGTTATTTTTGTTTCTGATTTTGGTGATGCTGGAGATGGATCTCAGGGCCCCATGCTTGCTCAGCAGGTGCTCTCCCATTGGCTGCATGCCCAGCCCATCTTGTTTCTGCAACTTGATATTTGCAGTCAGTGTAGGAAACCTTTCAGCCATTACCTTAATAGTGCTTTGGTGCATCTTTGCTTTCTCCTTCTGGGGTTCTAGTTGCATGCATTTTAGTTTAGGTTCTCTCTCTCTTTCTCTCGCCCCCCACCCCCTCTTCCTTCTCTCCCTCCTTCTGCTCTTTCTTTATTTCAACCTATTGTAGGTCTGTTTTTGTAATCATTTTCTCTCTTGACTTTCATGATTTTGGTCTGTGCCTGATTATATTTGAAATGATGCTAGATATAATATAAAAGAGTAGAGTTAGAGGAATGTAGTTCAATGGTAGAGCACTTGACCGTCATGCATACAGCCCTAGGTTTAATCCCTGGTAGTAGCAACAATAAAAATAAATAAAAATAGTACAGATGATTTGAATTTCTGAATATTGGTGTTCTCTTCCACCACAGGCTTTTTGCCTGATTCTACTTGATAGCTAGAGCTAGCAGTCTTGGATCACTTTAATTCAGTTTGGGTCATTAGAATCTGGGTTTCAGTCTGCCAATCTGTCCAAGATATAGGGCTAACTAACTTCTTGGAAAGTTTAAATTTCTTATCTTGGTCCTCATCATTCAAAACTCATTCTTTTTTTTTAAGGAATTTGGAATTTATTCCATAATTATAGGTGTCTCGGGAAAAGTAGCTCTTACTGCTAGGCTTGCCTCTGGTTTTCTTCTTTTTTTAAACCTTGACTCCTGGAAAAAGGCATTGCTTTTGCATCCCTACTAGTCTTTAGCCTTTTTCTGTCCTTATATTTTAGTTCTTTTAGCAGGAGAGTAGTCCGAGTTACACAGTGCACTGTTACCACAAGTAGAAGTCTTTCCTAATGGTTCCCCCCAAGTTTCCTTTAGAAGGTCTTTGGTCTAGCTAGTATTCACTTTTGTGTGTGATGTGAGAAAGTGATCTGTGTTTTGTTTGTTTTTTTTTTCCTATGTGGAAATCTATTTGTCACGACACAGTTTTGTATGCGTTTTCACCTGATTCATAAGCCTTTTCTACTAAGACTCTAAATATGTACATGGCTCTGTATTTGGCCTCTTTCTTTAGCTATTCTATTGATTTTTCTGTTTCTGCAGTAGAAGCAACTTAATTATATGGCAAGTTTGATATGCAGGATGCAATTTCCTTTTTGTTTTTTTGACTTCCCATATGGCTTTAAGAATAAGCTGTCAAGTTCCATAAAGGGTCTTGATTTTTTTAAATGGAATTATATTTAACTTATGAATTAATTTGGGTCAATTGATATTTTGCCATCTGTGATCATAGAATATCTTTATAGTCAGCTCTCAGAGTATTTTTATAGTCACTTCTCTTATGCCTTTAAATGTTCTTCTAAATCTTGAAAATCTTGTGCATTTTGAAGGTGTTTTGTTTCTATGCACTTTGTCATTTTTTTCTGCTATCATGAATGGTGACTTTTTTTCTCTGCTTATATTTTTTAGTTGGTTAACAGTGGTATATAAAAATATTATTTATGTATATTTTTTGTATTATTATCATTCATTCCTGAAAACATTATACTTTGCAGTTGGTCTACCTTTGATCCTGTTGCTTGGTTTTTATCAGTTACTTATCTTTTTACTTTCTATCCAGGTACCCTTTTTTTAATTCAAATAAATAAGGTCTTATTTGATTTTCTTTTAAACCTAAGGTTCTAGTCCTTTTAACCTTTTTTCTTTCTTTTTAAAGTATTTTTATTTTATGTGAATGAGTTTGCCTGGATATATGTATCTGCGCCATGTTCGTGTCTGGTGCCTGCAGATGCCAAGAGAGGATGTTAGATCTCTTGGAACGGGAGTTACGGAAGCTTGTGAGCCACCATGTGAGTGTGGAGAACTGAACCTGGGTCCTCTGTAAAAGTAGCAAGTACTCTTAACTACTGAGACATCTTTAGAGAAAAATTCTTTACTTAAAATTTTGATCAAATATTTCTTTGAAAAGTTAAAACTAAAAGCATAAGAAAAAGCAAACTTGATTAAATGATGTGCCTTGTAAAACACATTTTAGTTTTTTTTAAGCCAGTAGTATAAACATTATTACATTTTGTATCCCTCCTCCTTGTACAGTTTTAGAAATTACCACTGTTTTATTATGTACTGTCAACTCCAGCTCTATGAATAAGACCTGACTCCTAGAATGAAAAATGAACTCAGAGTTTGGTGATTTGATATGTTCTGTTACCTTCTCTACTTCTCAGTTTTTGAATGTTCTGCTATTTCCTGTTTCAGTGAATT